CCTCCCCTCCCCTCCCCCCCCATTTATGAAAGATGTGGTATATTCAATCTTTATGCAAGCAGGACTTTTCCTCCTGTCTGTTTTCTGCTTATCTGATCCATTTCAACACACAACTTGAACCTGGAAGCCTCAATTTCTCCAGGAAAAGGTGGCAGACAGCACCTGCCATGTTCTGACTTGAAGCTTTAGGACCTTGACAGAGTGCCCCACCTGAAGTGGCAGGGTTTCGTCAGCAGTAGGGCTCTGCCTCTGCAACAAACTCTTTTTGGCCTTGCCAGTTGGGAAAGAGACCACTTACAAGTCATTCTGGCAGTTGGCAGGTCATTTATTGTGGATAAAAATGTTTTGAAAAGTATTTCTGGACTTGAAAGGTGGCACCATACGACTCCATGTCAAAGGAGAGTGATACGTAAGTAAAAATAGACTGTGCTAAATAATATCCAGCCTTAATTCCTGACTAATATGTACACTAACAACACTAATACAATCTAATTTAATCTAGCTTTTACAAGGTTGTTTTGCACACAGATAAGATTTCAGTGCTCATCACCATTGATATGTACAACAGGAGCAGAATCCTTTCTGCTCTCTGTTGGCTGCATTGGTTGCTTTCATAGAAAGTGAGTGGAATAAAAATTCCCAAAATGAGCCAGCGTAAGTTCTGAATATACACCAGAATTTCTCTGCTTAGTACAAGAAATACAATGATAGGTACTTAGAACCATTGCTAAAGTTACTAATACAACAAATAAATAAAAATCAGCTCTAATTTTACCTTGCCATAATTTTCAGGCAAGTTGGTTTGTTGCTTTTTTTCTATCCACCAATTTTATGCAGTACCAAGCTGAGATGGTACAGTTTATTGTACAGTTTATTTGCTATTTCCTGATTGCAGTACTAAAAGTTTCCTATAGTAAAAGGTAGGGTTTGAGTAGAAAATAAAACAAAAATAGCTAACATTGGATTTTTTAAAAAAATATTTTTCCTGAGAGCATTTCTTGTTCTGGTAGCTTTTTATGCAAATCTCTTTCCTAACATTAAGACTGGAACTAGGATTATAAAGTGTCCTACATCATAGATTTTTAGTTTTTAATATTTTACAGAAATGAGAGTGTTTCAAAAAGAAAAGCACTACAAACTGCCTGTGTCATTAGTTTTCTGGATAAGGGTTTCCAAATTTTCATATGCCTCTGAATAAAAAATATCTTGAAAATTAGATTAGCCTAGGACTGGTTTTCAATTTGTATCTGTGTTTTCTTTTTCATATTGTCAGCTGGATAGCAACATAAACATCTGTCAAAGGGTATTTTCAAGAGTAGCCAGGGGATGTCCTCCCTAACTTAAGTACCTGTTTGAGGTGCTGAATTAGAAACCCAGTATCTTTTCCTAGCCTATGAAGACAGAAAAGCATCTCCAGCAACTAATTCAGAAAATTAGAGAAGGGTCTGGGGAGACCTTATTGCAGCCTTCCAGTACCTGAAGGGGGACTACAAGGAAGCTGTGAGGGGAGTTTTTACAAGGGTCTGTAGTGACAGGACAAGCGGTAATGGGTTTAAATTGAAAGTGGGGAGATTTAGATTAGATATCAGGAAGAAATTGTTCATGGAGAGGGCGGTGAAGCACTGGAACAGGTTGCCCAGAGATGTTGTGGATGCCTCATCCCTGGAAGTGTTCAAGGCCAGGCTGGATGAGGCTTTGAGCACCCTGGTCTAGTGGAAGGTGTCCCTGCCCATGGCAGAGGGGTTGGAACTAGGCGTTCTTTAAGGTCCCTTCCAACCCAAACCATTCTATGATTCTATGAAAATCTAATGAGGAAGGATCCACAGCTCCTGAGGAACACTTAGCTAAACTGACCAATGTAAGGGAGGTTTGAAACCGGGCCTTAAGCTAGGACACAGCAGTAAACTTTTAGAAGAATAATTCCATAGTGGAAATAGGAACTATAAATCAAAGAAATGTGTGTTGTGTTCTTTATACACAACAAATAGTTGGGATTCCTGTTTTAAGAATAGAGAACAACTCAACCTTAGCTTCAGAACACAACCTGCTATCCCATAATGCTTCCTATTCAAAATAGTATTATCTGGCATGCATTCCGCAACACAAACACATATGACTGCCTCTCTTTTCGTGTATGTCTTCTTTTATGGGACTAACAGCTCTTCCTTTCCCTTTCAGGAGCACATTTACAAACTGATGAAAAGTGATTCTTATCCTCGTTTTATACGATCCAGTGCCTACCAGGAGCTGCTACAGGCCAAGAAAAAGGTATTGGTCCATCTTGCCTTTGTCTTGCCACTGTGCAAAGCAGTGGTTATGTTTGCAACAATACTCAGTCTTCTCTCCCCTGTGCCAGTGCAACTGGATATCTGGTAGGTGACCAGCTTGGCGTGTTTGGAGGGTCACATACACACAGGAGTTCAATATACATATATGTGTATATATCCTGCATGTGGGCATGTTTCAATAAGTTAACCTAGCGAAACTTATTTTTATTTTTACATCCCATATTGTACTGTTTTCTCTGTTATGAAGCACCTTAAATTGCAAAGTGCTTAACAAATACATTAAAAAAAATAAAATAAAATCCCAGAATAGTCTTTCATGTTTGCAAGTTTGCTTATGTAATAAATGTTGTTCTCTTTATTCCACCTATAAGAGCTACAGAATGTGTTTAGAAACAATCTTATTCATACAAATAAGCTTCTAATTTCATCTTCAAATATAGGGACTGCCTAATTCTGTTTCTTTCGCTATTATTACATTATTAGTTTTGAGTAGGCTAGGAGTCTGACTTGAAAGACTGATCATGTCACACTTCGGCAGAGGGTCATGTCTTGGTATGTAATATTTGTTTAGAAAAGTCCAGATTATGGAATGAGTTCTGAATAGACACAGCCCAGAGAATGTGGAGCAGCTTGTGCAATGCAGATTTCTATAATGATAAATTATTTTATTAATGGGCTCTAAACAGTGATCTCCTAGAATCAGCTGGGAGCCCTGTGCCTTGCAAAATTAGGGCCCCGATCGTTACTGGCATGAGGTAGTTATTATCACCGTAGCATTCTATTGTTTATAATGCCAACCTAAAATTATATGAAAGTACTGTGTGATTTTGTTTTTTGTTCAAACATTGATTTCTGAAGATCCAATATAGAGAGATGTTGAAAATACCAGAAAGCTACAACTGTCCGTGTGAAGTCCTTAAGTTTGTGAATGTCAGTTCATTAACACAAGATGTGCACTTCATTGTTTCTTTTTATTTTCAGTTTTTCTTTTAAATCGAACCAGTTTCATTCCCATGAAAAAATTATTTTTGTCAAATACTGTATCTGCTTTGCCCATTCCCTGTTTTGCAGAGTCCCATTACAGCTTCATACCTGTGTTTGCTTCCTGATTTATACAAACTTTGGTTTGCAGTCCATTGTTTCATCAATCCTTTTCTACTCCATTTTGTCTTGCTTTTCTTTTTCCCTTCCTTTCTCTATTTGTTTCTTTTTTATTTATTTATTTTAAATTTAAGTTGGAAAACACACTGGATCGTCGAACATCTTTTGAGAAATTCACACGCAATGTGGTAAGTTTGTTGCCTCGGAAGACTAGTCAACCTGATGGGACATCCTTCTCCCCTCCTCCTCACTGATCCCTACTTTCCCTTTTTGCCTCCTTAACCTGACAGCTAAAAGTGTATTTATCACAGTTTGTGAATTTTCCTAGGAATGACAACTTTATAATGTGCTTTCATTACAACTGCTCCTCCTTAGTCCCTTTCCCACTGACCTCAATAGTCACACAAAGAGGAATGGACCTTTGGGAGCCATGCTTTTTGCATTAGGAAGCATGAAATTATTCACTTTCTTTTTTTTTTTAAGTCAATTATACTAAAGAATCTGTGAAAACCTGCTTGATGTTGTTTCTTTTTCTGGTGTCTCCCAAAATGCTAAGCCTAACAAAGTTTGAATACATTGAATTTCCCTCCTGTTTCCTTTTTATTTTACTAGAAAAGAGTTTGTCCCATTGTTTTTTTTTAATTGGGCACAGGGAAAAATATACAATAATTATTTCCCCACCTTCCTTAATGTCTAGCACAGCTTCTTCAGGACCAAAGAATTCATGCTGATGATGTGCAAAGGTTTGATTGGGATTTCATTTTGATAATGAACTACAAGAACTGATTTTTTTTTACATATATATATATAATTTTTGAAAGTTATTTCATGAAAATACAAAAAAAGAAGGCTGGTCAATTTGCTGTGGGCATTCTCTTGCCACCTGCTAAAACATCCACTGATTATCTAATATGTGGGATTCTTTTTACTTATCCGGTACCTTTGGATATTTTTTTAACGCTGTGACAGTTTGAACTAAAGCAATCAACGCATTTATTTTTGTAGGGCAGAAACATCCCTATTTTCCCATGCCATAAAAACTGTACACCAACACTGAGGGCGAGCACTAACCTGTTATGAAAAGAGGTAGAAAGATCTTGGATTATACTCAAGTTTGTCTGCATTGTTTGTTGAATTGTGGAGGTGACGCTGATGTGTGTGCGTGTGCGTCCGTGGCTTTTTCTGTGACCTGGTTAGTGAAGCTGTGTGCGTTGAAATGAAAAATATGAGAGCTTTCAGCAAAGATCATGGTTTTTGTTTTTTAGTTTTTAGGGAAGGAGAAGCAGTTCTCAGAAACTGCCTCCTGTATAATGGGGATCAAGAGTATTTCCCCAAGTATTTAAAATATATATACTTTCTAGTAATAATAATAATAATTAAAAAAAAACCAAACACAAAACCACAACAAAACCCACAAAAAAAAAAAAAGACAAAAAACCCAAATGCAGTGAAAAAAACAAAGTTTTGTGAGGCTGTGGGAATATCTCCCATGTCAAAACAAAACCATAATTCTTTAACTACTTTCTTATAGGTAAAGGCTTCCTGTAATATGCTTTGAATCCACTGTAATCAGGAAGATACCTGGATTCAATGGGACAAAGTCAATAAAGGACACTAAAAAGTAAATAAACAGCCACAAAGGAAACTATCCCAATGTTTGAAACAAAAACCCCTGTATTTTGCATGGTGGTGTTGCCATAGCATGTTTCAGTGTGATTTGTGTGTTGTCTAAGCAGGTTGGTCTATAAAACAACATTGTACATAACACTATACATGATAATTCCATAGGAAGTTCTGTATTGATAAAAGAGCCTATGTTAATAAAAGGGAGTGTAGGGGGTAGGTGGCAGGCACATCTGGGACCTCCGAGAGCCAGGCTTTTTCCCTGTTACAGTGGCTGGCATGCTGCAGTAACTATGTTTATTCGTGGGAGTTTAAACAGCCCACAGATCAGGAATTGGTTATGGTAAAGTGTATGTAAATAGGTAGCTGTAAGGAGTGAAATTGCAACCTGAAGGCAGATGTGAGGACAATACAGGGCAAAAAGCAAAAAAGTGAAGGCAGACTGGGAGACTCTCAGATGAGTGTCCAACAGTGCCTCACAGAGCAGCATTACAGATAAACCAGAGGCTCTGTGTGCAGATACTGGAGCATTACGCCCTGCAGGCGTGCCCCGTTTTCATCCTGCTGATCTTAGGGCAGAAGCACAAGAAGAGCGGGATGGCAGGCCCAATAAACCAGCTGTGTGCTAGACGTGGGAGTGAGGATCTCTGGATGTGGAGCATTAGTACTTCATCAGAAGAGGGCGATCTTTTTTTTCATGAAGTAACCTGTAAAATAAGAAGAAGTGGGTTTGCTTTTCCTCAAAACACACACCTGTGAATCCGGGTGGAGTCTGTCAAGTCGGGTCAGCTATGAAAGTAAAATGTGTCACTGCTAGCTCTATATTCTCTGTTAGATCAGCAGTTTTGAGGCTTGCAAATTAATCCCGAATGTCAGGATGCCTAAGTGCAAACCTTTTCTCCAAGACGACTGAATTCACATCACCTACTGCCCCAGGACCCCTTGCCACCAGGCATTCTTGCTCTTCCTTCCTTCTTCTCAGCTATGATTACTTTATAATATGCAATTATCTGCCTTGGGATGAGGGAAACATTTCTCAGAATATCCTACAGTGTACTGACTAACTTGTTCAGCTGTGAAATGAGGGACTGGGGTATAGATCTGTTCTTTTGATTAATACAGAAAATAGGTGTAAAACAGGTCTTCTACAACCTGGATAAATGTTGTCATCTCTAAATGATTTAATAAGGTGAAAATTGCCATTTCTCTTCTCCTCTGATGGTTTAGAAAATTTAGACTAATTTTCACTGTTTTTTTCCCACCGATACCAAAGTGGGTTTGTACTGAACTAAATTAGACCTCAGATTTTTCCATTTAAAGTGTTAAAAAAACCCACAATAACCTTGGTGGTGTCTAGGGACTGAGCCTGATGGGAAGACTTTATAATTCATAACCTGATTTGTTAAGATGGATGGAGACTGTAAGAGGCTCCTGATCAGTGATGACTGAAAGTGGGTTATACTTGTTACAAAAAGCATTTGTTAAACTAGGAAGTCCAGAAATTTTGTAAGGGCAATCCCTCTGTACTATTCCTTGAATTAAGTCATAATAAGCAGATATAATGAGTCATTATTCTAGTCTGATGGAGAAAATGAAAAGTGGAGTTATATAGACAAAAAAAAAAAAAGAAAACCCCAAAAAACAGGCTCAGCTTTGCATTTCTTTGACACTGCAGAGTTTTCTTCCCAGAAAACTCTCAGTAAGTCTGTGAGCTTTATGAAAGCCTTAAATGTTCATCTTAAAAAAAATGGCTATTTAGCTTGTTCAGTAGGTTTTATAGTGCAAAATTGCTAATGCCTTTGGCAGTCCACAACAGACAATATGAACAGTGTTAGAAACAGGTCTGATATAGATAAAGTAATAGCAAACTGGCATTTGCTACACATAATATTTATTAGTAAAAAATTAATAATTTCCCTCTGAGTAATAATTGCCTCACTCATTCACGCTCCCAGGTGTTGTGTGAAAATATAGAGCCTGTAGTCTTCTCATGTGCGTGCAGGTTTTGTGACAGTGGCAGACTAGTAGTCTGGGCAGAACACCTCTGTGAGCACTAGCTGGGTGCTTGGCTGTGATCACCAGTCTGGAAGCCTGAAACAAAGGGATCTCATTTACAGGAGAGGGGGATAATTTAATTTCCACCCTATGCAAATTATCTTGTCCCACCGGGAACCAAGTTTGTGGGGCAAGAAGGTACAGTCTCACTGCTCGGAGCTGCCTGGGGGGAGACACTCCATCATCACATGTGGTTGTTGCAAATTTGTGACGTTTTATGGAAATACAGCCAGTACAAAACAGACCAATCTCGGGTTAATTAAATTAAACTAGAGAGCCATCAGATGATAATTATCTTAACTCAAAACCTCATAAACAAGACTGTATTTAATAACTCTGAGTTTAAAAACATTATATTTTACATTACCAATACCCTTTCCAGACGTCTTCTCCCACTCAGCTGGAAAAACTTGTTTACCAGTGTTCTTCAATATTTTCCCCCTCCAAACCTTAGACCATTTCATGCATGAGTTGTGAAATGTGAAGGCTGTTGAACACAGCACATTTTCACAAAGACTCAATCCAATGTCACTTAGCATGACATAGCAAATTATAGTCTAGAGATGGAAATTAAAACTCAAAAAAAATAGCTTTCTCAGTTCTTAGCAGTGGGGTTATCTTTCTAGATGCTGGTGTAGTCTCTTGTTATGTTAAAATCTGTCCCTTTATTCAGAAACAAGGCACATAATAATTTCATCTGTTAATCAAGAAATTTTTCTGTATAAAGAGAGAAAATTTACGTACACAAGAGCCCTACCGTGCCAGAGCAAAAGTCCATCTAGCCCTGAAATCCCACCAAGGACTATATTTTTCTCAGGCATAGCATTGTGAATTAGACTTTTGAATTTACTTACAGGTTATTCATAAAACTTAAACCAAAAAAAAAAGCCAGTAAAAAAAAAATCACAAAGTTTCTTCCTTGACAAAAAATAATATGCCTTTGTAGAAATTAAGGCTTTTTTTCTTAGAAAAGGAAACAAAATACCTTATGGATATTTGGCTAAAAAGAACTGATGAAATAATTGAAATTTTAGTTTGGACTAATAATTAGTCCAAAAAATCTGGTTTTAGGGTTTTTTTAGGAATGATGCCCAGGCTAATGAGGAAAATCAAAAAGAGCATCTGTAGGACATGCCAGTGAGGACTGGCCTCCTTGTCGTGTTCGGCAGTCACTGGAGCTAAGCTGCACACTGCTGGAAGAGAAGGGCTGAGGAGTAGCACTTGCACAGCCAGGTTCATCTAAGCGAGGAGCCAGCACATGATGTCCAGGTATTAGGCCAGGGTCTGCCATTTCCCAGGTGACAAACATGTACCTGGGTCTGAAGCTATTTGCAGGAATGAGAACTGCAGAGAGGTACATTGAGGCGTCAGAC